AGGGAGCATGGAAGCCAGATGGACAAAGGGAGGTAGTAGGAGGATTACTGGTGGTGGTGTTTTGATTAGGTGGTGATAGGCTGACGAGATGAAATAACCTTGATCTCGATTCATGGTGGGGTTGTGGCGTTTGACTACAAAACTACAAGACTACAAAAATTAGGAAAACTCCTTGAAGCCATAAACATCCAACGCCACAACCCCACCATGACAATCTGATAAAACAACACACGTTGCTCTGTGTCGTGAATTTAGAGAGAAATACGCAAACTGTAGAAGAAACTTAACAAAGAACCTTCGTCGGCATCGCCTAACTTTCCTGGTGTCGGCTTTGACGTCTGGAACGTCAATGAGTGACTGTGGACAGCTAGTGTCTCGTCTTCAGCGATTCCACGTGTTAATACTGAGACGTACCCCAGTAACGGTCATTGTGAAGAGCAACTGGCATACAACAGCATATGATTTATTGTGAAAGGACAGGGCCATGCGAGTGTTCTTGATGACCCACAATTTTCGAGATTCTTTGATCCAAAGCTCACTTGATCATTCGCACCACGTCTCCCCTCAGAAGAAAAATTCCTAAAACGCATCTCGAAGCCAAACACGTTGTTCAGAAACTGTTGTCATCTGCAGAATAACTACGCATTTATCGTAAACTCACTAGATGGGAATTTATATTTAATCACCATTAGCTACTGACCTTGAAAATATAATAGATGCCTCGTTGTTTTCTTTCATGAGGACATTGGCTTCTGAAGTATTTTAATATTCACACACAGAAGCCGCATGTTCAGAACTACAGGGGATCGATTTATAAAAGGAAATATGTAACATGATTTAATTTGTTCAGGCTGCTCTCACATCTGACGGATGGAAGTTTGTGTTACCAGACAGCTATGTCATCATATCACTGTTGAGTAGCAAGTGAAGAATTAGGTTTTACTGACTAGGATACGATTGAAATTCACACAGGTAAAATACACAAGAATTGTTTTTGACAAAATATAATTATATATATTAGATTATATGGATAGGAGGCAAAAGACAAAACTTCAAAACTGTCACTAATACAGCGGAATACAAATATCTTTTTACCACATAAGGTATTAAAATTCGATATCCATATGAAAATGGTAAAGTAAGCAGTAAATACATAATGGTTTTTCAAGAAAACAGTTTCTTTTACGTCTGAGCATATTGCAGACACTCACAGTTCAGGCAGTTGAGAAGTGAAAGTTACCAATAAAACATGGGTCTCCTCCTGTCACCGCTGCTAATATGATTAAAGCCGATAAACAACACTGCATGCCGCCGCCTTTATCGTCGAAATACTTTCTTCAACCCAATAGCTCCCAAACGAAGCGACAATTGAGAAGCAACTGGGAAAACGATATGTTCTAATGAAAATTGGTCTTGCCCATTTGCTGGCAAGCTAAGCAGATTGATCTTTTTTCAGTGTAATCTAATTAGGCAACTTGTAGAATCCAATATGGCTGACACGCAAATGCATTTTGACGCGCACCTGAAAAGCTAAAATGAGCAACGTATGATGTTGCTACACAATGCAAACTTGCAATCTTTCCTGTACAAGTTAACGAAGATATGTAATTTTTAAGGTTTACTCTGTGTAGACATTTAAGTTAGTCTTATCCCTCTCACGAACACCATCTCACTACTGGGGTGTGAGACAGTTGTTGAAAGTGGCTATATTTAATTAATTTTACATTATTTCCCGCTACCTCATCAGTCTGGATCGCTGAGATATGGCGATTTTTGTTGATGCTGGTGATTTTGTGTCTTGAGAGCGTCTGACAATTGGGTGTTATGTACAGTAAAACTGGGGGACTAAGAATTAAAATGAATAATAAACAAAATTATTAGTTTGGGATGCTTAGTTTGTTAGGCTCAAGATGAACATGGCAATCTGTCAGTTTAATTAATAACATGGAATTCTTACAAAGAACAAACGTAATGAACCCTGAGATATAAAAACATTGAGATTCCAAGGAATACGTTTTATCAACTGTAATGCTGCTATATTTAACCGGAGGTTCCATCAAGAACACATGTTATCAACACATTCTGTTTCGTAAGTAGCTGGATATTCCAACAACAAACACATGTTATCATCACCTTCTGTTTCTGTAAGTAGCTGGAGATTCCAAATAACGAACACATGTAATCATCACTTTCAGTTTTGTAAGTAGCTGGAGATTCCAAACAACGAACACGTGTAATCATCACTTTCAGTTTTGTAAGTAGCTGGAGATTCCAACAACGAACACATAATAATCATCACCTTCAGTTTTGTAAGTAGCTGGAGATTCTAACAACGAACACATGTAATCAACACCTTCTGTTTTGTAAGTAGCTGGAGATTCACAACAACGAACACACATGTAATCATCACCTTCAGTTTTGTAAGTAGCTGGAGACTCTAACAACGAGACGTGTAATCATCACCTTCTGTTTTGTAAGTAGCTCGAGATTCTATAAAGAAGACATGTAATCAACACCTTCTGTTTCGTAAGTAGCTGGAGATTCTAACAACGAACACATGTAATCAACACCTTCTGTTTCGTAAGTAGCTGGAGATTCTAACAACGAACACATGTAATCATCACCTTCTGTTTCGTAAGTAGCTGGAGATTCTAACAACGAACACATGTTATCATCGCCTCTCTTGTTTCGTAAGTAGCTGGAGATTCCAACAACGAACACATGTAATCACCACCTTCAGTTTCGTAAGTAGCTGGAGATTCTAACAACGAACACATGTAATCACCACCTTCTGTTTTGTAAGTAACTGGAGATTCTAACAACGAACACATGTAATCCAACACCTTCTGTTTGTAAGTAGCTGGAGATTCTAACAACAAACACATGTAATGAACACCTTCTGTTTCTAAATGTTAAGTAGCTGGAGATTCCAACAACGAACACATGTAATCACCACCTTCAGTTTCGTAAGTAGCTGGAGATTCTAACAACGAACACATGTAATCATCACCTTCTGTTTTGTAAGTAACTGGAGATTCTAAACAACAACATCAATACACATGTAATCACCGCACTCTCAGCAGTTTCGTAACATCCTGGTCTAACGAGGAATACTCAGACATGAAACCTTGCGGTTCCATATAAGTAGCTGGACATGTTCCCAGGAACACAGATTTTCATTTGATTCTCTGGTTTCAAGATATCAATTCGATAACCTAAACTATTCAATCATAACCTATTCTGCCATAACCTAGTGTGTACTGACCAGTACAGATTATGCATACAAAATACTCGAAAACGCTCAAACAGATACACTGTTTCCACATGAAAATAATCAGATTATCTAGGGGTCAGTTCTGTAAAATAATAAAAGTCATACACCCGGTGCATCTATGATAACTGGTGCTGCTGTTGAACACGTCTATACGTTATTCAGACATTCAGTCTCTTAGGTTTGGGAAGTAATGGCAATAAAACATATGCATTATCTTATATCATCTATTAATTGATGTTATAAAATGCAGTGATTTGAATTTGAAGTAAGGTCTCGAATCTTAACCCTTGGGGGATATACGGCAAATATTGTTAAATAGCACCATTTTTTAATGAATTCTTAAGGTTACACCAAACTGTGATCTTTTTTTTTTCATTATAGTTACTCATGCTTGCAATATGAATGAAGGTAGATAGGCATGTGACGAAGACACCGTTACTTTAAGAGATCTCATTGATTGCATCACAGTACGCTGCTCACATTGAACCTACAATCAATAATCTCTTGGTGGACAATAGCATGCTACCATGCTATCAATAGCACGCTAGCACGCTATCAAAATATCAATTACAACTACATGTACATATTTACACTTACAATAAAATGATCGCTTGCGTTAGTAACTAGAAGATACAGAAACAGCAGTACAAAGTACACACACTGTACGTCAGCATTATATCTGTATGCAGGATAGAATAAATAGTGTTATCGCATGGCTACAGCTGTATTAATACTCGTCGATACAGTACAGTCGTGCCCCGTTTATCGAACCTCAGATATCCGTAAAACTCGTCTTCCAAACGAAAATTCATTAAAACGAATTCACAATGTTGTAAAACTACTCACTTAACTAGAAATCCGGTTTCCGTAACCGGACGGTCATTTTCACATACCAAATGTTAAATCATATGCATTTTTTTCTCGAATATCCGGATAGCTGAGCACCTGTCAGTATGTTTACACGTGCATTTTACCGAGTGGCCTTGCGTGCCCTAACATGAAACAAGGGTAACAAGTCGGCATTCTTTGAAGGGTGAGAGGATTAACTGCCCTTAATTAGCAAGGTGACACTGAGTTAATCTTGAGGCGTTTGAATTGGTGGGTCACTATAATTACGCTGATGTTGGGTACAGGAACAATGCAATGCAAAAGCGTGGATGACATCAGAACTGGATATACATGTACCATAAAAATTACCGTTTGTGACGCGGGTGGCCAGAACGAATACGTCACTCGCTTAGTGAGTCAGAATTTAACATCGCGTCGGTATTATTTCAGCCCCACGGCGGCTTGTTTAAGACGTAGTTGTCCCTGTGTAGAAAGAGATCGACTGTACGGTAAAGAGAAAAACTACTTTTGGGTAAAGTGATTGTGGTGTCATGCCAGCGACCTTGACAATGTGGACAGTAGGAATGGATTAACAGCTCATACATGTGAGGGAATCGAACCCGTCCTACGGTGTGATCAATCCACGTTTTATCCATTATCCATCTTCGCAACAACGCTGAATGTGCTGATGTGAACACTGTCGATGTATGTGTCAATGTAATATATGTTTTTTCCAGACATTGTCCAAAGGAAATGGCTGCTCGAGAAGGGGGCTGATCGTGAAGGTGGGGGCGATCGTGAAGGTGGGGCTGATCGTGAAGGTGGGGCTGATCGTGAAGGTGGGGCTGATCGTGAACGTGGGGCTGATCGAGAAGGTGGGGTGATCGAGAAGGTTGGTCTGATCGAGAAGGTTGGCCTGATCGAGAAGGTGGGGCTGATCGTGAAGGTGGGGCTGATCGTGAAGGTGGGGCTGATCGTGAAGGTGGAGCGCTGCGATGGGCAAGGGAAATGCCACTGCAGGACCTTATTGATGAAATCTGTACAACAGGTGAAGAAATCACCACAAGTCAGCTGACTCGTATACAGCAATATCTCATTGGTAAGATAAAATTGTTTCTCACTTGTTTTGTTAATGGTATTTTTATCTTTTCAGGAGAGATACAAAACTGTTTTCAATAGGAGCTAGGTTTAGGTGGTACTGCGCTAAACTGAATTTTGAACCGTAAGCGCAGCGTTGCATACTTTGCAGCTCATAGCTAAGAATTCACGGTGCACTTTAATATCAGAAATCATGTTTATAAAGGCGACCCAGGTTTTGTATACAAAGTGGAAAAGTTACATCTACTCCATATAAATGTTGAACAATTAAATGATGCATCAGTCAATGCACGTTTATGAAGACATCTCTTCGTCACTTCACACTGTTAATGAACGGCGCTGAAATTGGTTGTTTTCGTGTTTGTTGGACGCGTGATACTCGTGCACTGTTTGGATTGTTATCAGTAGGTAATAAAGAAACCTTTCCGCAAATAATGCTTACAATATACCACTCCTTGCTAAAAAATAACGCTTACACCGTGGGTAAGCAGCAAACAATAGGTTCCAACAAGAAGTTGCGCGTAAGGAAGACAGTGTCGCTCGGTCTCCTATTACCAGGTGTTTGTTTTGTCAATGACCCATAATAGAGTATTCATCAAGTGAACAAAATATTATGTTCAGTAACGTAAGACCGATACCACTTTAAATGAAGCACAATAAATGTCTCTAGTATATAATGTAATGCGTTCTCTGGTCTCGATACTCATCGCAAAGAACATGGGTTGCACCTCGTCTTCAACGCTTCTCTAAAAACAAATAATGTATTTCTCTCAATAATTCTAACTATATCACCTCTCAGGGAGGCGTAATATGATGTATTCCAAAAAAGAATTACGTATTTAGATTGCAATATAAATTAACAGGTTCGAATGAATTAATGTAACGTTGCATTAATTGACACTCGCGCTCTCTCCCGGCGAACATTATTAAAAGCGAACCCCAAAGAGTTATGTTCCTTGGGGCAAGTGTTCCATGTATGGCAAGTGTTCTCTGTTTGGAAGCTGTTCGCCTCGAAGTTTAAATTATCGATTTCAGGCAAGTCGTAAGGGATAATAAGCCTTTTATTGCATCAATAGGAAGCTATTAAAGTGAGTGCATATGTCCCAATATATATAATATAGGCAAAAATATTGTCGAAAATGTGTGACGTTGTGTCTTTAATCCCAAAGGAAATGACTCACTGACTTGATTGACACATATCAACGTATACCAGTTGCGTAGATCGATGTTCATGATGTTGATTGTCTGACTCGATTATTTACAGACCGCCGCCACTTAGCTGGGATATTGCTGAGAGTGGCGTTGAACAACTACCAAACCAAAACTTCGTTCACTGTGTGTGTCATGATATGGCCTGTTTCACAGTCGATATGCTTGGAACATTGTAAAGCGTAGCCATGGGTAATACAATGCTACATCGAGAACAAATATATAGATGTTGCGTTTTTTCAATGAGTTTTTTTAGTGTCATTGATTAGGTCTATAATTCCCTTTGCACGGGTATGTAGTCTCTGGAATGTTTTATGCCGTTATGTAATATCTTTGATGTGTTCACAGGGGAACATGGCTTTTCTGCAGATGAAATCAACAAATTCAAGGAGCCATTACTTTTCTTCGGACATCTCCGTGATAAGAAGTTCATCTCCTTCGCAAACCTGGCCTTTTTTCAAGCTGTCCTCACACGAATTGAAAGACAGGATCTCTGTGACATTGTTTCAGATTTTGCCCGGGACCATTCATTCGACGCGCTGTATCTTGAAGTTTCCAAAATTGATAAAGGTAATGCTTGTCAAAGCGTCGCTCTACACTTTATGTTTGAAAAGCCTACATATGAAAAATGTTCCGCAGCCATGTTAAATTCAAAGAGAATCCTTTATATGGCAATAAGCTGGGAACATGTAGACTATTGAAAAGGCAATTAAATCCGCAACCATGAATATGCGATGAAACTCATTGTGTGTATGTGTTCGTTTGTACGTACGGTATGCTGTATGCTGCGTGCGAGCGTGTGTTTGTTTGAACTGACAGTAGTAATTATATCTTACACAAATACATGCTTGTGAGTATGTTTGAGTGAAAGGTCAAAATATAACATAGGTATGGGTCTGTCAATATCTGAATAGATATATTTGAAGTTCTCACTTTGTCCTTTTTCCCAAGCCACACACCAAATATGACCCCATCTTAGTTTGTTTTCGAAACCTGTCGTTAGATTTACCTGAAGCAGTTATGTTCAAAGCACAAATAATGTAAACATCGATTGATTGTATCATTGTTACAAGTCCACCAACATGTATGTTCCAGGAAGCAATGCCAGGGTCAATTTACATGTACGGAAGACTCTCACTAAGAGAAACGAAGTTGACACGATTGTAAAGAGCTTGGCCAGTTGTCTGAACATTCCCGCCGAGTCTATCCGGGTGATGGGGGCCGAGGCAACAAACAGTTACCGCTTGACTCTGTACATCCCCGCCAGGTACAGAGATCGCCTTGTGGACAAGAACATGCTCAACCATCTGATGAAGGTCGACATTGACGAGGTGGAAGTGGATGGGGAGACTATCAAGCTTACCTCAGAAGATAGGAATTAGGACAAACACACTACATTTGCTTGATTGTAAAGACACATACGAGTTTTATTGTATATGAGTGGTAAAATGCCTTGTCGTTATTGTCGAGCGAAGAGGTAATGAATTACTGCATTAAGCCGCATCAAGTTTGCAGCTTTACTCGGCGAGACGCATTAACAATAGCGAAGAAGCTAACTAAAAATGGTGTAAATATGTATCTACTTAATTATTTCACAAGGAAGTTTGTATTTCTTCATGTCTTCTATTCAGTTTTCGGTCACATTTCCATATCAATTTCTACATAATGTCAGTTGGAACGTATGAATGTGTTACAGGCCACGTTAACATGGGGAAACAGTTTAGCTTCCGGTGTGTGAACTAGCGGCGAGATGCAGTAGGCACTGGTCTAACAAACGTTTGTTATATTTAATATTGTGGTGTGTAAAATGTAAGACACAACGCTTACCATTATTTGAAACGACGGTCCAACGTGCTACGTTGTCATTTTAAAAATATTAAACATTAAATGTGTAATCATTTCATGGTATAAAACTGTGTGTACACATAGCAATATACACATGCACACCACACTCCTCTTGCTCTCCGGGAGCTCAGTAGGGAGTGGCCTGTTTCATGTCGTTCATGCATGTCCTTTTTTCTGTTGGATGATAAATAACAATATGTTCACCAGCTAAAGAGAAGCGAATGGCTGGTTTCTGGAATGATTTATTACCTTGGAGGTGAATCAGTTTTCTTGGTTTTGCCTCCATTGACATCACCCTGATCTCCACGGGTTGTTGTGTGTATTGATATGAGTCTTTGTGCCCACAGTAGTTTGTTTCTTCATATCTGTCACTTCAATGTGAACGTATTTGTATCACTGTAGCCTTAAAGTAGAAAATACTTTCTTCCGAGATCTGCTGCCTGTGTACAGTGTACAGATGTTTGAAGGGCATTTAGAAGTTGGTGGGGTAATACAGCACATTTGATATAGATGTGCAACTTCATAATCGTGTGTAAATAATAAAGAAGTTGCACATCTATATCAAATGTGTTGCGCAGTGTAGAGAAATACTCACATTTCACTTCCTACCGTCGTCACAGTTGCTACATTTAAAGCCATGTTTATTGTTTTATCAACGTGTAACGGGTCAGGCGATTTTTAGTTCAGATTATATTCTTTGAAGTCTATATTTATAAACATATTTGAGCTGTTTATACATGTATTTATATTTCTGAAAGTTAAATATCTAAGGACGTCTTCGTTCAAATGTCCTCATCTCTTTATAAAATTCTTATTACACAAACACATTGGTGATCAATGTAGCACGTTACCAATATCACCTTCCAGCTTCTATTGTTTGCAGATAATATATATGAACTGTTTCTTATGATTTAAATTTTGGTCCAAAGAACTCAGATCAAACTTTAATCAAGTTACTTAAATTCCATCGCAAAACAAATTTAAATAACAACGATAACATCAAGTAAGTTTAAAATGTGTTCTTTTATAATGACACAGCAGTTATATTGACATAGCAGGAGATATCAAATTAACGATGAAAGGAGTTTACAATAATTACTTTGCAACTGCATAATAATTGTAACAATCAAGTAATAACTGCGTTGGCGTGCTATGAAAATAGCAATGCAAATGTACATATATCGTATGTTGAACCAATCATTAAAACTATTATAATATTTTGATGTTCCAATATCGGACAGAAATAAATGAACTTATAATCAGTAAAACAATGACGTATTTGTCGTATGTATGTACATGCACTTGAAAACTTGATATGTGTCAGTAGTGTGCAGTGGTGAATGCCCTTGATAAGCACGACAGCTGATATAGTGATCGGTGAGGGAGGGTATATATCACATCTATTTCAGATGATTACGTTGCACCTTACATTGAGCAGCACGTCCTGGATTGAATGACTCAACGGTTTATATCTTTAACAACGCAGCAACGTAACGCCTAACCACTGTGTGATAGTTTAAGCCTGTGGAGATAAGGGGAAATCATATGCATCTTTCCGCATGTGTTTTCACAACTTATCACAGTGCAGTATGCCAATGATCAAATGATCATAGCCAGTCTTTGGCATTCGTAAAACATTTAGAGGTCTGAAATAGATAGCTGAGAAGAATGGAGTAATACGATAACATTGGTATTCTCCTATTTGTACAGTGATTGACAGCCGTTGATATCATAACATTTATGTAAACCAGACTGACTGAGTTTAGATATACGCCGCTTTTAGCAATATTCCAGCAATATCACGGCGGGGGACACCAGAAATGGGCTTCACACATTGTGCCCATGTGGGGAATCGAACCCGGGTCTTCGGCGTGACGAGCCAACGCTTTAACCACTAGGTTACCCCACCGCCCCATGTAAACCAGACCTTAATGTAGTACAAAATATAAAAACAAAAATACGAAATTTATATTTCTTTTAAATCTCGAAATACCTTAAATGTCCCACATCGTGCATTTAGTACACATCTTGTTTAGCAAGGGATGTTAATGCGAATGTATTACTTGCCAGTTTGTAGGACGTTGACGCTTTGACGTTGATGTTACGTTAAAATTGGTGGTAGTGTGTCTACATGTGTGATCATTTGATTGTCTGGTTTACACAAACACTGCTGTAGCATCGAGCTGTAAATATTTATATGTTTAGGCAAACAGTGTCAATGGCAGGTACTACCACTGGAGCAGGACATGCCTACACCTATCGAGAACATCTGGTGTCATTAATTTAGTCATTCAAATAGTTCACACACCCAGAGTTCCGCCGAGCACGCACGCACGCACGCACGCACACACACATACACACAACAACAAACGACAAAACAAACCTGCACATCCATAAATATGGAATCCGAGAAGGGACATTGTCGCGTTGTCGCATTGTCGCCCTCTCAAAAACAAATAAAATGAGGCAAAATAAACCAAAACGCCACACGCGACATCGCGACAATGTCCCTTCCAGGATTCCATACATAAACGTACATATTCCCACACAAACATACATATGCTTACTGACGAGATCGGTCAGGCTCCACTGGATTAATGCAGGTCACCGTATCCCAATCTATGGTCATAATGTCAATCACTTGATTGTCTGGTCCAGACTCTATTATTTAGAGACCGACGTCATATACGAGTAGCTGGAATATTGCCGAGTGCCGCGTTACACACCAAACAGATCATACATTATCACCTGTCGTATTTTCCAACCTGAATCAATACATTAACCCAGTAATCTCTGTAAAACAAACAAACCAACAAACTTCTTTAAAGTGGCATGTTTAGAAGTTGAGAATCAGATAAGGACAAAACTTTATGGATGAACAACTTCTTTTATTCGGATGATGCGACGTTTCGATACAGATAATTGTATCGTTGTCAAGCAAGTATCTGTATCGAAACGTCGCATCATCCGAATAAAGAAGTTGTTCATCCATAAAGTTTTGTCCTTATCAAACCAACAAACATCAAAGAAATGCTACACAATTAATGGATGCATTCTAAACTGCAAGTGAGACAGAGGCTTTACCCAAAACTAAGCGGGCGTTCATAATTTATGACTAGGTGAGTGATGCTGACTTTTATGGAGAAGCATGTGCAATATGAATGACACCCCCTAAAATGTATGTATAGAGTAAGTGACCCCCTGCATGTTATGTGCAAAATCAATTCCTCCATAACCCCCACCCCCACCCCCACCCCCTAAAGGGGTGACATCCCCCAAAAAGTACCATCAATACCCAATGAAATGAAGTGCATACTACAATACTGGTCTGATCACATTCAGGTATCATTATGTTTTGGAACACATATACAGTCAAAATAATATCGTATTAAAATGAATGGTTTTCTCATCATACAGTAGAGTGTAAATAATTCCAGAAACAATCAAAGAACGGGACACACTAAATGAAATGAACCCTATTTCTGTTTTCCTACGCCCCGGTAATCCTGGAATTTTTATTTTAAAAACTGAAGAGAAACTATACCCTACAACATTGATTGCGTGCGAGAGTGCGTGTGTACAGCCATACACGCGTTGGTTACTTCCCTGTTCAAAACCGGATGTTTACAACCTGTACCGGAAGTAGATTCCTGCTGGAAAATACATCGCTTAAGAAAGTAAAGTTACTAGTGTGAACCGCGTCTGTGCGGACAGGAGAGACAATGGGGATGTGTCTGCCATGTCTGGGTAGTTCCGTGGAGGATTACGACCAGCCCGATCCCGTGAGCACGTCGTCGAGTTATCACAGTTGCCTTTGCTATGTCTATAAGTGATTGCAATAGCCGATAGTCCATATTTCGAGCACCATGCCTTACCAGATCCAGACTGGCGGGGTTTCTCATGTAGATCGGTGCTCAGTGAATTAAATACAGGGCAAGTCGGGAATAACAAAATATTAAACAGACTGAGAACAATACATATGTGTTTTAAAATCCTAACATGAAAATAATGCCACCGTCAAGTTGGCTTGGTGAAGAGACAGTAACCTGTTTACAAACACGAAATCTGACATCACAACTTTGTATGTAGCGACCACGTAAACCCGGAAATGATAGGTGCGCGAAATAGATGTCCGCGAATTTACATTATGCCAGTTCACTAGTAGCAGGGATAATGTACATACGATCTATATAGTCTCCCCGCTAGTAGACACTACTCGTCTGAAGAGTGGTGGTGGCGTCGGCGAAGCTGTCGACGTGACAATGTACTTGACACCTTTCATAACCGTAGGTTATCATGGAGAATGTTTGTGTCGGTTAAGGTGTTCACTAAAATAGTGTGTTCTGTAAAATACTCTGAAATGTATATTAATTTGACAAACGTTCCTCTATTTTTGTGAATAGGTTTAACATTTTGAATTACTTTTGGAGTTGTTATTGTGACCAGCTTGAATATTATCTGATATGGATACCATGCTGAAGTACCAATCTTTCAGGTGTTAGAAAACAGGGGATGACACTAGAGTATGGCATTACTTTACAAAAGAGGCACTGAAAGCTATTATAAACGACTTTTTTCTTATCAATATATTTTCTGAATGCTATTGTTGAACACATCAGCTATCGGTATGAACACAAATGTAACTTTCACTAATCCCCAGATATATCAGCAATGTTATCTTAACTGTTCGAAAATAAGGTACAACTATGCGAGGATATTTACACTAGCACTCATTTCTGACATGCAGAAATTGTCAGTTAAGTTTCCCCTGCATTCTTGTGTTATGGTATATAAAAATAGACCAAATGTTGTTTAAAAGTGAAAATTGTATTCATTGTTTGTACATAAATGACAGTAAAGGATCAGGACACAACTGCCCAAACACTGAACCTTTTTCCAAATCTAAAATACCTGAAATTAGCTGTTGGGGATGTATGCCAACTGAGATGCATACACTGTATATTTTCTGTAGATGTCACAACCCACTAGTGGCGTGCTGTTACATGGTTACTGTCTCATCTCCAGCACATGTTAAGCACCTGATAGACTGTAGTATAGTGACATATTCAGCTTCCCATGGCCCACTTGTACAGCATGGAGTCTCATGTGACAGTACTGCTTCTAATATGCATTAAATACCGGTATACATGAGAAAATAAAATCATGTATGCAGAGGTACAGATAAGCTGCGTATCTGCGTAAATTACGCAAAAATGTATGTGAAAACTCAATTACTATTATTCTATTAGTACAAGTACGCTTTTGAATTTTTGTAAATACTCAATAAATGTGATCTTACATGCGTACACACAAAGTGTCAACTCTTAGGTTAGCATCAAGCGATAGATAAAATAACAGGTATATTGAGAGGTTCTATTTCAGCACACCTAATTTGGCAACTTGCAGTCTTTCTTATCGTTTCTGATACTACAGATCAAATATAAATTACAAACACTAACATTTAAACTTTTATCATATTTTTAAAAATTAATAGAAGATCGCAAAAATACCCAATTGAGTTTGAGTGTGTTGAGTACAATTTATTTGGTTACTCAAAGGAAAATTAGGATACCCAATTGAGATGAACACAAGCGAGTACATAACTCAATGACCTAAAAAGTTATCTGTTGCTCTGTGTATGTGTATGTAATGGAAAAGATGATGTATACAAAGAAAAAAGAATACATCTGGAAATCATGTTGATGATGTTTTCTCCAGCATCATCTTGTGCTTTATATGTGCTGGAGTGGTGGTTGTTATATTGGGTACAACAGATATTAGAGTACTCACCCTGTTACTTTAGGGCCATGCAGTGGTCAACAAGAGTACTCACCCTGTTACTTTAGGGTCATGCAGTGGTCAACAAGAGTACTCACCCTGTTACTTTAGGGCCATGCAGTGGTCAACAAGAGTACTCACCCTGTTACTTTAGGGCCATGCAGTGGTCAACAAGAGTACTCACCCTGTTACTTTAGGGGCCATGCAGTGGTCAACAAGAGTACTCACCCTGTTACTTTAGGGCCATGCAGTAGGTCAACAAGAGTACTCACCCTGTTACTTTAGGGTCCATGCAGTGGTCAACAAGAGTACTCACCCTGTTACTTAAGGGCCATGCAGTGGTCAACAAGAGTACTCACCCTGTTACTTTAGGGCCATGCAGTGGTCAACAAGAATACTCACCCTGTTACTTTAGGTCCATGCAGTAGTCAACAAGAGTACCTACCCTGTTACTTTAGGGCCATGCAGTAGTCAACAAGAGTACTCACCCTGTTACTTTAGGGCCATGCAGTAGTCAACAAGAGTACTCACCTGTTACTTTAGGTCAATGCAGTAGTCAACAAGAGTACTCTACCCTGTTACTTTAGGGCCATGCAGTGGTCAACAAGAGTACTCACCCTGTTACTTTAGGGCCATGCAGTGGTCAACAAGAGTACTCACCCTGTTACTTTAGGGCCATGCAGTGGTCAACAAGAGCACTCACCCGGTTACTTAAGGGCCATGCAGTGGTCAACAAGAATACTCACCCTGTTACTTTAGGTCCATGCAGTAGTCAACAAGAGTACCTACCCTGTTACTTTAGGGCCATGCAGTGGTCAACAAGAGCACTCACCCGGTTACTTTAGGGCCATGCAGTGGTCAACAAGAGTACTCACCCTGTTACTTTAGGGCCATGCAGTAGTCAACAAGAGTACTCACCCTGTTACTTTAGGTCCATGCAGTAGTCAACAAGAGTACCTACCCTGTTACTTTAGGGCCATGCAGTGGTCAACAAGAGCACTCACCCAGTTACTTTAGGGCCATGCAGTAGTCAACAAGAGCACTCACCCTGTTACTTTAGGGCCATGCAGTGGTCAACAAGAATACTCACCCTGTTACTTTAGGTCCATGCAGTAGTCAACAAGGTACCTCCACCCTGTTACTTTAGGGCCATGCAGTAGTCAACAAGAGTACTCACCCGGTTACTTTAGGGCCATGCAGTGGTCAACAAGAGTACTCACCCTGTTTTAGGGCCATGCAGCTGTCAACAAGATTACTCACTTTCGGTTACTTTAGGGCCGTGGTCAACAAGATTACTCACCCTGTGTTTAGTGCCATGCAGCGGTCAACAAGATTACTCACCCTGTGTTTAGTGCCATGCAGCGGCCAACAAGAGTACTCACCCTGTTTTTAGGGCCATGCAGTAGTCAACAAGATTACTCACCCTGTTACTTTAGGGCCATGCAGTGGTCAACAAGAGTATTCACCCTGTTACTTTAGGGCCATGCAGGGATGAACAAGAGTACTCACCCTGTTACTTTAGGGCCATGCAGTGGTCAACAAGAGTACTCACCCTGTTACTTAGGGCCATGCAGGGATCAACAAGAGTACTCACCCTGTTACTTTAGGGCCATGCAGGGATCAACAAGAGTACTCACCCTGTTACTTTAGGGCCATGCAGTGGTCAACAAGAGTACTCACCCTGTTACTTAGGGCCATGCAGCGATCAACAAGAGTACTCACCCTGTTACTTTAGGGCCATGCAGGGATCAACAAGAGTACTCACCCTGTGTTTAGTGCCATGCAGGGATCAACAAGAGTACTCACCCTGTTACACTGTACTTTAGGGCCATGCAGTGGTCAACAAGAGTACTCAAGAGCCTAGACAATACTGTGGAGAACTGGGAATTGAACATCTGATCAGAAGTGCCTGGCATGCTCAGGGGCTCTCCACAGCAAAATGTGGCACCTTTATGACTCCAAGAAATAGAATTTAGTTACTTTTTCATGCATGTAGTTGTGAGAAATATTGGCATCCCCTCTCTTCTTTTGCTGCATTATTTTTTGTGACCCCTCTGAAGCCCCACCCTCCCATCCACCCCCAGAATATATGGCCTGTCTCTTTCACAATAATGCAGGAAACTAGACGACAACAGCAGGCTGAGGCAGCGATAAAGCGACAGCGGGACAACGAGTCGAGAGGGGTGAAAGATGCTGAGGGTTTGAAGAGGAAGCAGCAGAGAAGGGAGGAGATCGAGAAGAAGGCGGAGATACAGGGAGGAGGAGATAATACCATGAGGGTAGATACAGTTGCTCACACTATCTGGGAGTCGAGAAAATTATTAAATTAATTATGTTTGGGGATGCTTTTTTGTTGGTTTTTAAATTGGACCAGATGGAGCCCAAACCCACACTCTGAGAGCAATAGTTCTGACATTGTTACAGTAAATATGAGCTTTGTGAGTAATTATATATGATATATGTTGTATGAAGTATCATATTGTGTAAAGACAACATAGTGAACAGTGTAGATGAAGGAAAGAATCGCAGGGAAACGAAATACGAAGACTAAAACTATTCCAAAACAATGAATTATTTTTTAAAAAGCAAAATGTATGTTGCCTCTCAGGTAACCACTGGCCCGAAAATATATGATTTTAATGTTGCATAATGATCCATAGAACTCTTTCAATGTATGAACTATGTTGTTTTCAGTGCTGAAGTTAAGCTGTTACACAATTATCCATCTGTTGGATGAAAGGACATCTGTAAAACTGTATCAGTGCAGGGTTATGAAATGGAGAGAATCAGTACGCAATAGTAGACATACATTAGCAAAATGTTATTTTGGCGATTGAAGGAAAAACAAAAGATGTACTTGATGTAAAACTTAAAAATATACTTATATGAAATGTGAAAATATTAAGGCTCTTACCTTTGAGTAAAATTGCCTGGATTGGATTTGCAAATGTAGCTGAAAATATAACTTGACACCATAGTTACCATACACCACCACTGTAGAATGTCATATAGCTGGACTGCAAGAAATACAGCCACAGAGTTGAACAGCACTTTCTCAGAGTTTGAAACAGTCAGGGTGGAAGGTCTGGTTATAGTGACATTGTATCAGCTAACTTGTATAAGTTTGTTAAAAAACTAGATTCAACTGATTGTTTGCATTTTCTGTTTTACAGTGGCAAGTTGGATGATCACACAGGCTGCCTTGACAACAGATAAGTTCCATCAGCCACACTTCCATAGTGGACTGTCAGATGTCTACTTATTTATCGTACAATACTTCTATGTTTTCATAGACCTATTGGCCTTTCCTATGTGGTTGTTCTCAGTGAAATGTTAAATTATTTTCAGTGCTTGTTGCTATTTTCTCGATCATACTGACGATCGGGTGTCTTTGTATTTTCATAACTTTTCTATCATATTTTGATATGTCTTTTATTTCATAACTGTGGTTATGTGGTAGAGTTTCCTATCAACACATTATCTCATTATGCAGTCAAGGATGTCTTCATTGTATCTTCAGTCACTGTATACATTTAACCTTCAACAAGGTCTTACTCAAAGCAGTCATTCTCATGATAAACATTCAACTGGAGTAGAATATTTTGTAATGCTTATTTTGAATTATGTTACCTTTTCACAATGTTATAAGTATTTAGGGGAATAGTTTTATCCCAACAATATAGGATTCAACATAACCCTGTGTCTCTGATTTTTCCTCTAACACTACGTAGTACAATTCCCACACCACAGATTTTAAAAGCACTTTTGTTGTCTGTATCAAGGCATTACACTTCAAGCATACTCTGTTTCTCAGTTGTCAGCAGAGTGGATACCACACAAGACCTTGTAAAGGCCTTTCTCAGCATCTTCCAACCATTTCAGATCTAATTAGCAATGGACAAGCAAAATCAGTTCAATATCCTTTTATTTAATGAGAAGACCATCTCTTTGTAGTGATGTTCTTGGATACAAAGTATGAAGGATATTATCAAACCATTCAAACACTCCGATAACTCTGTAAAATGGTATCTTTGTACCTCTTCACCAAATTACCACCATGCTCATTTTCTTTGTTACCTTGTTTTGGGATGTTTGTGTTGATTGATAGCTCAATGTACATATAGGCAACGGTGCATGGAAGTATTTGAAAGTCTGTTTTGTGTTGAAAGGAATGCACTGATCCTTTGAAATCGTCTTCACATGATTGCTTCTCCTTCCCAGGAGAATGGTGACTGAGATTCCAATGAAGGATCATCATCCTGACACTATACTCTGGTTTCTGTTGGTTCTAACATAAGCATCAACAGACATGCATTTGGTATTTTATGCATTTTCTTGTTTCTTAAATCTCTACAATCGCTGTGCCTTTTGTATTTTTAACCTATGCCATTGGTTGCCATAGTTACATAGCAACAAGCTGTGTCATGGAGGTTATTGACTTCCCTCAGTTGTGGCCTGAATTGTCTTTATTATCTTATGACAAACACCATGGATGCATTCATTGAGGCTTTGTTTTTAGTTCTGTTCAAATGTTGTGAGAAGTGATCCCCAAATTTCATAGTTTATACATAATTGATATGTACAGTGATGTAACTAGCGTACAGCTTGCTTGAATGGGTGGTTGGGTAGCCCAGTGGTGAAAGTATTGGATTGTTATGCTGAAGGTGTGGGTTTGATTCCCCACATGGGTTGTGTGAAGTTCAGTAATATTCCAATTTTAAGATGGCAGTCAGTATATAATCAGGTCTGTACATTCATCATATTTACTGGACCGCTTCTCATGTAGCTGGATTGTTGCCAGGTGCAGCGCCAAACAGCAAGTTACACACACACAAAAATAAAGCAAAAAAAAAGGTTGCTATGGTTGTGATTATACTGCTTTATATGTATTTCTATCTAATGACATGGGGATAGTTCATTAAGAGAGACACAGTGTTCAGATATGAAAACTTGTCTGTCCATCTGTATATTTATACCATGTGTTTTGTCAGTTCAGGAAAACAAAGCATCCAATGTTAATCTACTGATTTGAGCGACATGTACTTTATGTATATGTACTTTACAGGAACATATATGTTATATGTGGGATTACACTTTCTTAGTAAAGTACAGATTCTAGTACCTTTGCTTGGTTGAGTCCCAACTGGGATTCAAACCAAAACCATCTGAGTCAGGCACCTAATCGCCAGCACACAAAGTCAGCTGTCTAGCCCGGCCAGCCACCGCATGGCAGAGGAAATATAACATGTTACATTTGACCACTTTCTAAATGGCATTGTGTATTCAAATATGTTAAAGGTCATCCAGTTTGTATCTGTTTTACTATATTAGTTTTTATTCGATCTAAGTAGTGTATATTAATGTATATCATGCCACATAGGTCAAATTTATTGGTCTGAAGAAAGTGTCAAAATGTGTACATTTGTTTTAATAATCCTGAAATTATCTTTCTTATACTCAAATGCATGAAAAACAATAGTAAAATCAGACATATAAACTTCCCAATTCCTTTCTGCTCGGGCAAGCGAAGACTTGAAGGATTTATGTGCAGCAGAAACCAGTGACGCATAACATAAGATAAACCTTTGTTTTAGATTAAGAAGAGGCACAGATGACTTGTAAAATAGGTGTTGCATTCCTAATGAAACAAAATAGGCCCTGTTAGTCCAGACATAAATCACTGTTTTGTGATGTCTAGACCTTCTGGTCATGGTACAAATTTGGTCATTGCCCAGAAAGAATATATGTATATATGTACACAAATTACTTCGCACTAAATGTAAAGACAGTTTTAAGTGATATGAATGAAAGGGACTAAAATCTTAGATCCAGAAAAGCATTGAGCTCTTTGTTACCAATGGTACATTTTGACATTTCAGCTGCAGTATTTTTGTATTTGGTGAGAAAAAATACTGTCTGCATATTTAAAATTCATAAGTTGTCAGTTTTGGGGAAGAAAGTGTACATTATACTTTAATTTAGGAAACATTACATATTCTGAGTGTCTTCTGTTGTATGTGGTGTGGATGAGCTGGTCAGCCGTTGGTTGTATTTCCTTGTTCTGCTTGGGTTATTGCTCATGATATTAATCACTGGTTTGTCTGGTCCGGTCTGTCTCTACACTGTGAGATAGCAGGAATATTGCTGACAGCAGCATTAAAGATACACTCCTTTGGTGCTGCAGATTTCACACAAAAGCGCACAAGATGTGTCACTTTCAGTATTTGATACTGCAGTGCTCTGTACTCTACTGTTTTCTATGTCTAAAAGTTCATTGTTACCATTCTAAAATAAATTCATATATCGAAGTGTTCTGTTCACTGTTCATGTCAAGTGTGATGACTCTCAGAGAAACAGTTTTGAGGGATTGCTGAGCAGATGTTGCTTGTGAAACTGAAATTAGAATATGCGTGTCATCAATACATACCTTTAAAGATATCGAATGGGAACCCATATCTTGCATCTATGTGTTTCACAATGATGTTTTAGGGATGTGTGGCCCTGTGGTTAAAGGTGCAGCAATTCGTTGTACACAGTTGCATGCCAGATACATGGGACCATTCGTTTGATTCCCGATTCACCCTGATGTTTCTAGATTAGTGTTCAGGGTCTTACTAAAGTAGTTAATTCGAACCATTACATTACTTTGGGCTTTCCCTCCATATTAAGATGGCATATTATGGTGTGACTGTAATATTGTTTAAGCATCCTTCCACCCATTTCTCCCACAGAGGTTACTCCTGTCATACAATGTAGGAAGATATGACAGGAGTAACCTCTAATGAAGGAAAGAATGTGAGGATCCATACAACCTACTGTCCTCATGGTAGATTTGGTAGCCACTGAGCATGAAGGCGAGGCGGGTTTTAAGCGCTGTAGAAATTGTACCCTTTTGTGGAGAGACAGATCCACAAAGCACTAGTTCATTTCCTGTTGTGGAATACTCAGAGGTAAAATTACTTTGACACAACATAACTACGACTGAAATATAAGTTTCAAAAAGAATATTTAAACTCCCTGTACATACTGAAAGCAGACCCTCAGGACAAAAATACACACATTTAAAGATGAATGTGTTTTATACTTTCCAATAATCCAAATACCATAGTAAAAGATATGTCTAAGTTCAAGTACAATAACCATACAGGGAGGTTCTGGTCCTGTTGATTGTACATATGATTCATTGAGAGAGGGTTGGAGCACAGCCTGATATATGTCATTACTGGCTAACGCCTTCAAATTTCCGTTAACATGAGAAGTCCTGAGTTGTGATGCCATCTCATACCATTACACTTGTAACAACCAGCTGGCGATGTTCAGTAACTTGAGGGTTAAGCTAAAAGCCTTTTCTTACATGCATAGACCATCGAACTTCTCCAGATGAAGACCATCATAGCTTTCCAGATGTAGACAATCAGAGTTATCCTGATGTAGACCATCAGAACTATCCAGATGTAGACAGAGATGTTCAGATGAAGAACATCAGAGTTGTACAGACGTAGACCATCAAAGTTATCCAGCTGTAGATCATCAGCGTTGTCCAGATGAAGACCACTAGAGTTGTCCAGGCGTAGACCATCAGAGTTGTCCAGATGTAGACCTTCAGAGTTGTCCAGATGTAGACCATCAGAGTTGTCCAGATGTAGACTATCAGAGTTGTCCAGATGTAGACCTTCAGAGTTGTCCAGACGTAGACCATCAGAGTTGTCCAGATGTAGACCTTCAGAGTTGTCCAGATGTAGATCATCAGAGTTGTCCAGATGTAGATCACCAGAGTTGTCCAGATGTAGATCACCAGAGTTGTCCAGATGTAGACCTTCAGAGTTGTTCAGATGTAGACTATCAGAGTTGTCCAGATGTAGACCATCAGAGTTGTCCAGATGTAGACCACCAGAGTTTTCCAGATGTAGACCTTCAGAGTTGTCCAGATGTAGACCACCAGAGTTGTCCAGATGTAGACCACCAGAGTTGTCCAGATGTAGGGCCACCAGAGTTGTCCAGATGTAGACCACCCGAGTTGTCCAGATGTAGACCATCAGAGTTGTTCAGATGTAGACCTTCAGAGTTGTCCAGATGTAGACCACCAGAGTTGTCCAGATGTAGACCATCAGAGTTGTCCAGATGTAGACCACCAGAGTTGTTCAGATGTAGACTATCAGAGTTGTCCAGATGTAGACCACCAGAGTTGTCCAGATGTAGACCATCAGAGTTGTCCAGATGTAGACCATCAGAGTTGTCCAGATGTAGAACACCAGAGTTGTCCAGATGTAGACCACCAGAGTTGTTCAGATGTAGACTATCAGAGTTGTCCAGATGTAGACCACCCGAGTTGTCCAGATGTAGACCACCCGAGTTGTCCAGATGTAGACCACCAGAGTTGTTCAGATGTAGACTATCAGAGTTGTCCAGATGTAGACTATCAGAGTTGTCCAGATGTAGACCATCAGAGTTGTTCAGATGTAGACTATCAGAGTTGTCCAGATGTAGACCACCACCAGAGTTGTCCAGATGTAGACCACCAGAGTTGTCCAGATGTAGACCACCAGAGTTGTCCAGATGTAGACCACCAGAGTTGTTCAGATGTAGACTATCAGAGTTGTCCAGATGTAGACCACCAGAGTTGTCCAGATGTAGACCATCAGAGTTGTCCAGATGTAGACCATCAGAGTTGTCCAGATGTAGACCACCCGAGTTGTCCAGATGTAGACCACCAGAGTTGTCCAGATGTAGACCTTCAGAGTTGTCCAGATGTAGACCACCAGAGTTGTCCAGATGTAGACCACCAGAGTTGTCCAGATGTAGACCACCAGAGTTGTCCAGATGTAGACTATCAGAGTTGTCCAGATGTAGACCATCAGAGTTGTTCAGATGTAGACTATCAGAGTTGTCCAGATGTAGACCACCAGAGTTGTTTCAGATGTAGACTATCAGAGTTGTCCAGATGTAGACTATCAGAGTTGTCCAGATGTAGACCATCAGAGTTGTTCAGATGTAGACTATCAGAGTTGTCCAGATGTAGACCACCCGAGTTGTCCAGATGTAGACCATCAGAGTTGTCCAGATGTAGACCATCAGAGTTGTCCAGATGTAGACCATCAGAGTTGTCCAGATGTAGACCATCAGAGTTGTCCAGATGTAGACCACCAGAGTTGTCCAGATGTAGACCACCAGAGTTGTCCAGATGTAGACTATCAGAGTTGTCCAGATGTAGACCACCCGAGTTGTCCAGATGTAGACCATCAGAGTTGTCCAGATGTAGACCATCAGAGTTGTCCAGATGTAGACCATCAGAGTTGTTCAGATGTAGACCATCAGAGTTGTCCAGATGTAGACCATCAGAGTTGTCCAGATGTAGACCATCAGAGTTGTTCAGATGTAGACTATCAGAGTTGTCCAGATGTAGAC